TGTAGAAGAGTTTGACCTCTTTACATTGGCACTAAGTATTTTTTTCATAGGCCCACCCTCAGATTTTTCTTCTTTGGGGTAAACCATCAAATGTTTTCAAATTCTTTTTGTAGGTTATATTTTTTTAGACTTTTCATTGCCTTCATTGCTTTTCACCAGACTCTCCAATTGATCCACCTTTTTGTTATACTTTAAAAGGAATAGATTTGCCCTTCTGGGATCTGAAAATTAGTAGTCACAGCATAAGGATTATTGCCTGTATTTTGCAAGCTGTTATTTTTGTTTACATAGTCCTATATAGTGTTTTCTTTCTAAATGACAGCATGACATGTTGGCTTACATTAATTTGTTCCACTCTGGACTCTGGGCCATCTTCTTAGGAACAGTTAGCCTGCCTGTACTTTTTGAATTTGATTATTTCTATCTAAATATACTTATTACCCTTGTTTTGAATTCCAGCTTTAGCCCATTTTTCCGATTTAAGATTTTTTTTAAATTCCGGTGTTGTCTGTTTTATTTTCAGCCTTCTAGATGTGTCACGTAAACATAGCAAGAAAGTTATTACATTTCTTTCTGCAAGTATACTGTTTCCACAAAATCCCCCAAGTTTATAACTGCTCAAATATTATGAAATACTTTGCTGTTAATGTTCCTGAGACATTGCCATGTATCCTATAGGACATTCAGAGAAGTCCAGTTGTTTTAAAATTTAGGTTAGCTGTTGGACCTCCTTTCTGAAAGTCACCCTATATCCTTTGTACCTGGAAATGATGATGGTGATGGTGTTCAGGTTCAAGCTGATTTTGCACCAGTTTTTCCATCCTCTAGATAACTATGAGCCTGATAAGGAAGCAACTTTGTTTTCTCTTACTGAATTTGTCCATTATATGAAATCAAGCAGGGATGTGCAACTGTGTATGAAAGGGTGGCCTAACACTTTAAGCTTCTAACCTAATCCAAATAATTAAAACTAATAAAAAGAATGCGATAATCACAGTTTGGGAGGGTTTATGCACTGATCAAAATCAAAGGAGCAACTCCTTTGATTGAAATTGAAATTTGTGGTTTGCAGAGGCTGCAAAAAAGGTTTGATCAATTAGAAAGAAAATCCTTTTTAACCCTGCAGTTATTTCTCAGGGATACCATCCTGTATTTCCTTAATCTTTTTAGAGAAGATGTGTACACTTGCTCTCAGTCACTATTCCAAAACACACATCTTTGTACGGTGTAGTACCCGCCCTCAGTGCAGCCGGTGAAGCATTTTCCTGTGCTTTTACTTGAAGATTAGGCAGTGGATTTGGTATTTGATGCATAAGTTTTTGGGTCCCAGGGTGGCTTGCATCCAGAGTATGTGGAAGGTGTGCAAAGGGTTGGATATTGTGTACGTAATGAAGAGGTTGCTGGTGCACTGCTCAGTAGGAGACTCACCATGTTCTCAAAAAGCAGCTTTGGAATCTCTCAGTATTTCTGAGCTGGGTCTTTGGGGAGAGAGGCTTAAAGAGTTCCTTAGAATCAGGAATTGTTTGCTCCCTTTCTTTGCAGTGGGTTTGTGGTGGAAGAAAAAATTAGCGATAGGTTTTTTGTTTTTCATCCTGGAGCTACTTAGGCTGCACTGTCATTTCACTGCAGCATAAGACTGTAAAATATGATACATAATTGCTCTTTTCAAAATGTTCTCTTGCACCACTGTAAATCAGGAGAATGTCCTCTGAAAATGGTAGAATTATTCTCATTTTACTCAGTGAAAATATAATTAAAGAGACAGCAAGGCAATGAAATGTAGCAGTAATGAAATCCATCTGATGACAGAAATGTTTCTATCTTTCTCTACTTACAAGAAAGATGGATGATGCCATCCTGATTGCCTGTAGGCTTATGGTCCAGGTGTAAAGCTGTTCAGCTTTGGGGAGGTGCCTAGAAGTGTGACTTACTATGGCAAGATTCAAGCAAACCTGATATCTTAGAACATCAGCTATATTTTAAGATAAAAAAAAAGAATATAAGAATCACAAGTAATCAAAGAAAAGGGATGGAGGTCATTCTGGATCACAGTTGCAGGCTGAAGTCTGCTAGAAAGTGTCTGAATCATCTCTGAAACTTCTTTGGAAAGAAAAGGGCTTTGCAAAAGCTGATAAAAGTGATGCAGTCTTAACTCTTCTCTACTGTTGTTCTTTACAAGACCTGAGTATTTCTCCCCAGGAAAGCTGGGGCAGTTTTTTTTCTGCTGTCCTTTTCCCCGATTCAGCAACTTGAAGAGACTGGCAGGCCATTTTCTAAAACATCCATCAGGCATCAAGAGAGAGCAGGACAACAGAATCACTAAAATAACACGAAAGAAGTGATAGGAAACATCAACATCAACAATTCCTGTTAAGCCGAACATGTGATAATTTAGGGGATAAAGCTGAAATATCACTTAACTTTTGATAGTTTTAGGAAGCTAATCAGTTGTGTAGGGAGAATATCTATGCAAAAGTTTCTCAAAATGCTCTGGAAACACTCAATCTTGTTGAAGCAGGGGGCAGCTCACTTGATTATTATTAGTTAGGCATTTTACAGGATGGACTGTGTTTTATTGTTTTATTTTTTTCACACAGAAGTCTCAAAGTGTGTTACAGGGTGGTCAACAGCATTGTTCCTGCTGTGCTGAAAGGCCAAATAAGAAGTCAGGATTGATAATTTGCCTGAGATTACCCAGAAGCAGAGCAGAAGACTCCAGAGTGCCTGTTTTAGTACATTATTTACGCAGTCAGTGTTTCCTGAGAAAAGTCCAGCTGGGGAAGGTTGGCACAATATATTAACACAGACAGCAGTCACATCAAAGAGTTTAACACCTCAAATTGACAGAGGTGAAGTGGGAGCACAGGGGGATGCATTGAGTTTCTTCTAGCCTCACAGCAGGCTAAGAGGAGAAACACACCTCCAAGCCAGGTGCCTTGCCTTGCTGACAAGCAGCTCAGGCCAGGCTGGCTCAGCCAGGGTCTGTGATCACACTCTCCTGAGCTAAGCTGAAAACAACCTGTTTTCACCCGGAGATGGAAGAGGCAAGTGATAATATGAGATACTTTTATTTTGCACTAGAGTGAAATTCTACAAACAGAAAACTCTCCAGCACAGGGGAACAAAATAGGAAGAGAATTTAGAAATGCTGTACCATGTATTTCATATTTGGCAACTTGTACTTCGGAGTTAAAACAATTTTGCGTGTGCCCTTTTGAAAGCATGAGGCTGCATGCATGAAGAACGCAGCCTATTTCCCAGGGAGCCATGTTTCAAAAGTAGAAAAAAAGAACACTTAGCCATGGAGCATTAAATCAGCTCATGTAGTTAGCTGACAAGCTTTCTCACAGAGATGAATGTCCCAGAGTGAAGCTGAGGAAGCAAGGCTTAGGAATGTAAATATTAGTGGGTGTGCAGGAACGTAAATTAGAAAATTTGACAGTTTTAATGACTTGCATTTATTTTCACTTGCTGAGTTCCCTGGCTGCCATCAGAAGCTAAATATTAGGTTGCTAGCAGAGAAGGCACAGGGCAATAGGGACAGGATAGGCTCAATTCCCATATTGCCATTGAGTCTGCAATAATGGCATATTATGTGATGTAAAAAAAGAACTGATAGAAAGAGGAGCTTCCTAAAATCTCCCCCATACATGGAAATACCATGTAGGATTACCTGTCACCTCAGCAGGAGCTTTCAGACCACTGAACACTTAAATCATATCATTATTACAGACACCTCTGGATTCCCTGATGGAGGTTTTTCCATTTTGCTTGGTAGGATTATGGATGGAAGGAGGATTAAATGACAAGTGAATCATGTGACAGCAAGCAAATGCCTACATGATGAAAACATGGTGACTGGAGGAGGCCTTTTCATTTCAAGAGATTACGTGGACCAGAAAACACAGATACAAGGCATTAAGGTGCCTAGTACTGCTTAGGTGCACAAGGTTTGTGTGTTGTGCCTGTATTGAGCATGGGATCCTCAGGGTAAGGTCTGTGGGTATTTCAGATCACCTAGCACAGTATTGCCCTGGTCTTTGTGCACTCCTGGAATGGAAACATTAATGGGGTTGTTTTTCATGACACAGGCTATGACCAGCTATATTTACAAATAGATACAGCTTTGTCTGATTTAGTTTAGTTTTCAATGTCAATTTCAGTCAGGTAGTTTTGTGCTTGACTGCTGTCATGGAGCAAGAGGTAACAATCCACGGCCTCAGTGATATCAACTCTTGGACAGCGCTCAAAACATTCAGCCGTCTAACAGGCAAATGCCAAAGCTATAAACCGGAGTGATGAACCACCTGATGCTCCTTCCCTCCTGTACCTTCTGCTATCCCACAGATTCAAAGTGGATGAAGCTCTATTACCAAGAAATCTGCAGATTCTGAGTGTCATCACCCTTCAACTCTGCTGCATGTATGAGAAGGAAAACAGGAAACAGGACTAGTATATTTCCATGCCATGTGTTATTTTATAGAGCTGTTTTTTACATCTCTTTTTATTTGATTCCTCTGTAAAATTGTCACAATTGACTTGTATTAGATATTTTGCTGAAAAAGAACAGAAGGCACTTCATTTCACTAACCTGCTTTCAGACAGTTGCAATTTCTCTTCACTTTTTTGCTTTTTGTAATTTATAGCTAAGTAACAGTGAAAGAACAACTCCAAAATTTGTTTGTAAGTCCAGGTACATCCCAGGAGCATTATTTAGACGTCACTCTGAGAATATGTATTATTGCTTTCTTATTTAATTGGGTACAAATAAAATCCAACATCTGATTTGGGAATACTTTTGTGTCAATTTATGTTATTTCCTGACTCAATTTGGTGAGCAGACTGTGAGTCTCATTACTTGAGTAGGTGAGTGCAAGAGGCTTGTGTATAAAAGGCTACAGTTATTTGTTTTAGTTGAAAAGATGGAGAAAGTAGAAAGAGGATCCACATCTATAAGCTGATTTTTTTCCCCCTGTCTAAACTATTTTTCTTTTTTACAGGTGATGGAAATTAAAGGACAAATGATTCATGTGCCAGAATCAAACTCGATATTGTTTCTGGGTTCCCCCTGTGTGGACAAGCTGGATGAGCTGATGGGCCGAGGCCTCCATCTTTCGGACATACCTATCCATGATGCTACTCGTGATGTCATATTGGTTGGGGAGCAAGCAAAGGCACAAGATGGCTTGAAAAAACGAATGGATAAGCTGAAGGCAACGCTAGAATGTACACACCAAGCCCTGGAAGAGGAGAAAAAGAAGACAGTAGATCTCCTCATTTCTATTTTCCCTGAAGAGGTGGCTCAGCAGCTGTGGCAGGGGCAGCAGGTTCAGGCCAGGAAGTTTGATGATGTCACCATGCTCTTCTCAGACATTGTTGGCTTCACTGCCATCTGTGCTCAGTGCACGCCCATGCAGGTCATCAGCATGCTCAACGAGCTCTACACGCGCTTCGACCACCAGTGTGGATTCCTTGACATCTACAAGGTAACAGCTCAAGTCTTAACCTAGCAAAAGATAACTGAAATGAAAGCAGAAAAAATCCCAGTAGCTTTCTTCCTAATTTGCAGACCTTCCTCAGAAAAATAAGAAGGCAATATTTTTTTTTTTTGTGTAAAAACACCCATATCTGAAATATGACCTTTGAAACTCAAATGCTTCAATATGAAACTGTCATCATGGTAGTCCCATGGGAATATAGGCGTCATATTCCCACTTCCTTATAGAAATACACATCTGCTGTATTATAGCCTGGTTTCCTTTAGATGACACATCAGTCACAGCATTCTAACAGTGAAGAAGTGCACAGTGATGAATCCTAACCCAGGCTGCAGCTCCTGGGAGGCACTCACTTTCAACTGGAATGGTTCAGGGTCTAGGCATTTATCTTTTCCTTGAAAGACCTAACATTTTCCATAAGGAGCAGAGCAGTCGCTAAAAAAAAGTTATTATAAGGAACTTCAACTTCCACTGAAAAGCAGGAAGAGGACAGCATATGTCAGTGCATGGTAAATGTAATGAATGGGACATGGCACTGGTGTGCCATGCTCCAAAGGAAATGTCACACATGTCAGTCCTATTAGAGAACTCACCTTCACTTCCTTAAATGGATTTGGTGTCCAGTATGTATTTGAGAGAAAAAAGGGGGAGGTAGAATTTAATAAATGCACTGAAGATATTAGCAGTGTAATTATCCTGTGAAACCTACAGACTGTTTTTTATATGGAATGCCTTTACTTTTGTGACAGAAGACATAGGGGAAGTCTCTTTTTATATGTTAATACACATTAGAAAAGAGATGTGGTTGTAAAATTATATATTGACTTTATTATATGACTGAGGTTTGCAAACTAACAGTTTTCAAAGTATTTAATATAGTATTTGTTGATAAATGTAGAGAAAAAGGTCTCAAAAATGTTCTGCTCTTTTCATTTCTAGGCTTTAATGCACTTTAAAAGGAAATGAAAAATAATTACTATCCACCTAAATAATAATCATGGCTGAAAAGCTACAGCATGTACCTTGACTAGAACTGAAAATGGTATAGCTAAAGGTTGGTAGGGCAGTTTACAGAAGTAAACAAGTACACTTGTTGTACCAATAAAGTTTTGGGCTCCTGGTTTAGGGATTTGTTTTACTAATGCTCAGAAGCCAAAGACCATCTTGGGACATGAATGCAGTGGAAAGTACCAGCCCTAATTTGAAAACTGTTGTGGTGGTGCTGTCAGAAAAGTTGGTTGGCATGATCTCAGTTTGTATTAATCTGATGTTGCTGCAGTGGATTATGACCCAGCTTCAAGAACAGGACTTGAGGAACTTTTAACCCAGAGTCAGGAGGATACCTAGTGACCCTGCTTCACATGCTGTGTGTCCACATGGGTGTTCTCACTGTGTTCCCAGATGATTAATTACAGCTGTTTTGAAGCATTCAAAACATCCTTTGTTGAAAATTATATTTGCATGGGAATAGGATATAAAGTATGCAAAACTCTATTAGCTGATTGTAAAGAAGGTTGGTTGAGTCCTGTGAGAACATTAAGAACATCATTCCTACTTATGCATAGGAATGATCACCACCACTACAATTATGATTTTTTAAATTATTGTCAGGTAGTGAATTTTAGATACTTAATCACCACTCTTTGTACCCAGCCCGCCTCAAAAATATACTTGTGTAACTAGGCTACAGAAATTTATCATGTATAAATGACCTAAATACATAAATTTTTAAATTTGCTTGTTTTTAAGCAGCATGGCAAGTATAACTTGCAAAGATTATTTGGTGGATGCATCTGAATACCAAATTTACCATTTTGTAAACAGAAAATTAAGTAAAATACAATAAATAAATTCCATGCTGTAAATTATTTACCCAGCTTTACTCTTACAGAATTTTGTGTTCAGGGCCTCAGTGTTTCTGATCTGGCAATGAATGTAATATTTTCATTTGTCTCATGCTATTTATCCAGGGATGTTCATAGAGAAATATGGCACAGAAAGAACAAAGATACTCACATTTAACTAATCAGACATAGAGAGCAAGCATAATAATCTCTTGGATACAGACTGAAAATGCTTGGAGAGAGCTGAAGGGTGGTGAGTTAGGCTTTGAAATTTCTTGGAAATTAAATAAGTAGCTATAACTGATGAGGTAGGGAAAGCTTATCCAATGGATGGAGGCACAGATAAGAATGGCACAGACAGATGATGGGCTCAGAAGATTAATTTCACAGCAGCATTTTGAATGTATAGCAACGACGACAGATTACATTTGTCCAGGCTGAGGGAGAACATTGCCCCAATTGAGATGCACGGTGGTGTGAGCCTGGGTGACAGCTCTAGCAATGTAGAAGAATCTGTGGTTTTGAGAGTGAAACCTGGGAAAGAATCTGCTGACATATAGCCTTGGTGAAAAGATTAGGAAGGACTTGCTCATGATAATCACAGAACAAGGAGGTGAAAGAACTGAGACCTGGTGATGCATTTGGAAACTGGGGCTGCTGACTATCAGAGCTAATTATATTTGGCTTGGAGTTGAGGAGTGGGAGAAAAAGTCAAGCACGGAGTGCAGTTCAGGTCAGTGTAGCTGCAGATGCTTGGCAAGCTGGTGTTTGGGGACATGCAAGTAGAAGCATGGATTCCAGGAGCAGAAGTCATGGGAGAGCTATCCCAGTACATTTTGAAAGCTGTGACTTTGGGTAAAATATGTCCTTGTTGGCCTGACTGTTTTGACCTGTTTTTCTCTGCATCTGAGTTCCTGTTGTTTATCAGACAAGTACTGGGAAATGATGCTTCAGTTAAGCCATCTCTTTATCAAATAAGCTATTTAGATATGCTGCAGCCATGTCTTCTGGCATTTAAACTTAACCCTGCAGTCTGATATCTTCCCTGCTTAAGATTCCCACAGCTTCTGTTTCTCCTTCATTTAATATGTATTTGACATTGGCTCATTTACAATATTTGTTTCTTGTTGAGTCCTTCTGCCTTTGTAGGCCTGCTTTCTCAGCTCTTGCCCCCTCAGTTTCCTTTCTGAAGCATTTCTCTCTTGCACCCTTTAACTGTGTAAAGGCAGCATTTATTGAGCATGTTTTTTTGGCTGCATGGCTGGGTAGTGTCAAGCCAAACAGAGCAGAACCAGGCCTGATTCTGTAGGTGTTAGTTTCTTTGTCCTTTCTCTACACAGGGCAGAATTTGTCCTTGAAAACATTGCAGATTTTTTCTGACACTATACTTTACTTTCTCTGAAGTCCTAAGTCCCACTTTCCTTGACTAAGCAGGGAGTCCTAAATGTTTTTTGAAAATGAACTGTGGTCAGCTGCCAGGATTTCTTTGCTATACATCTTCATTGTAAACATTTTAATTGAAAGTGTATTTATTATTTAAATAAGACAATATAATTACATACATTCATTTTACATTCAGAATCCAGAACTTCATTGTGTGGATTCCTGCTTTCTTTTTGGTTTCATTATTTGGCTAAACTGGCAATCTCAGCAGTACCACACACCGTTTCCTTGAGCTTTTATTCCTGGCAACATGATACACTTACTATGTTAGATCTTTATTTTCTGATTTTATATGCCTAACACTGTATACGGACTTAATGTTTGCCTGTTGTAAAGACCCAAGACTAAAAAATGATGGGAAATCTGGACTTTCCTGCAATCATTCAAGACTGATACTCCCCAGTTTTGAAAATGTTTATATTTAGGTTGTGATATAACGTAATTTTAGGAACATAATTTTAAACTCCCATTTTCTAAGAATATCACTTTACATTTCTGTACTGGTGGTTTAAGTTGTAGAAATCTGTACTTATTTTGCAGAAAATGCCAGTACATTCTCAGTACCATGACTGTCCCCTCTTGAGAACTAATACATCTTGTACTTAAATGCAAGTATTTGTACATACTTGTACTTGAATAAATGTTCTCAATCTTACTATCAGTGCTGTAATGACTAAAGAATACATCGATAAGCAGGGTCATGAGCTTCAGATTGTTCTGAAGTTTTCCAGGCTTTATGTTTAATAAGTTAAACAACATAGTCTCCAAGTTTTCATGTAAAATCTGTGGCCACTATTTCTGCCATCTTTCCATCCAGTTTTAACCTTTTAAGTTCTGTGCAAATACATGGCCATTTTAAGACGTTTTGGAATTCTAAACTTCAGCTTAGGCTTTGCAAAATGCAGGAAATGCAATTAAGATATATAAAATGATAGTGATACTCTTACATGAGCAATACAGAACACATAAAATATTACAAGATACCTTTTTTTTTAATGGAATGGTGCAGTTCTGAGGATTACCAGTGCACTAGATGTTTCTTCTTCCTGATAGCTTAAAGTCAGTGGGTTTTGAATGTGTAATAGATGAAAATGGGCTATAGAAAAAAATTTCCATAGCCCAGATGCTTGCTCTCTCTGCAGTGCCATCCAGCCTGGTAGATCTGCCTTCAGCACACTGTTCTGTTTGGGTCCCACCACAGAGGGTTCCTGAACCTTCTTTCTCCTGTCTTTGAGCTGACACCTTCTCCTCTTTGAAGTCTTTGCCTGTTGGACTTGTTGGCACACTGGCATGTCTCACTCCAGTGTGAAGTTAGAGCAAAGCCAGGAAAGCTATATCTTTGGGGAACTCAGAAGTGTTCTTGGGTTAAGTTAAGGGGAAAAAAAAAAAAACCCAATAAAAAACCTATGAAAAAAAACAAAGAAACACAAAATGTTCCATGGATTTTCCCTGCAGATCTGATGTAACACCACCAACTCAAGAATATTTTAAGACTTCCCATTACTTTAAGCATGTATTTTTCTCCAGCCTTGTGGACAATTTACACTTTCTGTCTTCAGGGAGATCTGTGAACAAAGCAAACAGACAGTCAGGCTCCAGAAGAGGTATTCTTTGCTTTATAAACATACAGCCCTGCACAAAGCACTAAAACATCTGTGCATGTTCTCCTGCAATACATCATCCAAGAATTCTCTAAAAAGC